CTTCACTCAAAACATATGTTTTTTCTTTCATTATAGGTGGTCCTGGTTGCAATGCTTAGTTAAGAATGCCTAATACTCGCCATTGAACACAGCATTTTCAGCTGCTTATAACGTTACCAACATGGACTTGAACTTTTCTGGGCCAGGAACCTATGTCACACTTCACTTTCCTGGAAAGGTTCAGCTAAATGGTTTGGACATTTCTGAGAATCCCCCAATCACCAGAGTTATGCTTACATTCACAAGGGTTCCCTTGCAAAAGGAGACATTGCAATGACTTCTTGTGGAATAAAAGTGCTAGGAATCAGTCCTACAGTGTTTCTAAATAATGAAGTTCATTTCTCTCTTCTTGACTATTTTAATACATGCATATTTTCCATCCCAAATATTTTAATACCTTTAATTAAGTGCCATGCTTTCAAACAGCACTAGAGAGGCAAAGAACATTCAGACAGACAAACACCAAACAGTGGAGGCTTTTCCTTACAAATACATTAAAACTTTGAAAAACAATCAATCAATCTGCTCCAGGCTGTCCCCAATGCAATACAAAATATGCAACATTGAGACAAAGCTGCTTATTGTTTGTCAACTGCACAATTTGGTGGAGTTGCAGTTACTTCAAACAGAAGAGCCATATCACATCCTGGTCCTTTTTGTTATGCTTGAATAGCCAATTTGCAATTGTGATATGTTTGTTTCTGTAGCCATCATGGGCCAAGTTCAACTCTCCAAGGAGTTACACAAAGATTGATTTTCACATAATATATTCAATTTTAATTCAAAGCACAAATCCCAGGAATCCTTCTGTCGTTGGATGTGCTTGAGTACAGCTCCTGTTAGTTTTGAGTGCATGTTGCATTCAAAGATAACACTTGGCTCTATACTGAATGATAATGCAATAATGTTGAGTACCAAAGGTTAAGTAGAGCTATTTTCATTTCTGCTTTGCACGTAACATGAGTGTGCATGCACAAAACCCTAAATTTGCACATCTGGCTGACTACAAAAGCACTTAAAGAGTCATGGATATTTGTAAGCTGTAAACATGTGTGCAGTAGGAGCATATTCATAAGAGTTAAAATGCCCAAAATGTCTAGTTGCTGAAAATCATGGTTCTAGAAACAATTAATCTCCCCACATGCTCCCAAAGAGGACAATGGGAGTTACACATGGATAAAGGGTAGTACTTAGCCCATATTTTAACCTATTCATTAAATGCAAAAATAAATACACCCAAGTGTGCAAAACATGGTGCCCATAAGGACAATCCCAAGGACCTACCATGGTGTTTTATTAAACCACTTATTCATCACTCTTCCTTGACCATAAAAAACAAAATAGGACTAGAAAAGCAAAACAGAGTCAAATGACATTCTGTCACAGCAAGCTGTGCCCTAAGTGTGCAGTGATTCATTAATCTGTGCCTATACCTTCATGTGCAGTCCATTTCCCATTTGCAAAGGTGTTGAGGGCTTACATTTCCACTAGGGGTAAGCAAAGGGGGCACTAGCCCTGGGCACTGAGCAAGGGGGCCCAGAGTGCTGGAAGAGTGGCAGGAGGCTCTGGATACGTGAAGCTGGGGCAGGCTACCACTCCTCAATGTCACTCCCCTTTCCTCATGGGAGATGCTGCTGCTGCTGCTGGCTTAGCCAGCCATCATCAAATCATGGCTTTCAAAGTCTGGTTCTGGTAGTTTAATTCTGTAACTGTAAGGGAGTGACAAGGGGACCAGTAAGACTAACCCACCCCTATTCTCCTGAGCTCAGCATAACCCTACGCCCCCACAACCCCAGCTCTGCCCACCAAAGTAGCCTCTGCTCCTTTTAGTGGCTTCATTGGATAGCATACCTTGCAAGTGGCCCTCAGTAAAGTCTGAGTTGTGCACCCTGAACTATATCATTATGAATGCATATGAAATCCCTCCGAAATCAAAACATGGGAAAATTAAGGTTTAATATGGACCTTGCATAATATATGTAGTCTCGCTATTTCTCTAACCCTAGCATAGAATATTTATCTAGAAGCTTACATACTGCAAATGTACCCAAAATAAAATGTGATCACAAATACAAAGGTTTTACTTCTACCTGTGTGCAAAGCAGCTGCATAAGACTGTGCAGTCAAACTGAACTTTCACTTTTCCTGACTGATTTAGAAGACCTTCATGGTGCCTTGACAGGCTTTTTGCATTTACTTGTCTAGAGTGTTTAAAAGGTAAAAAAATAAATAGAAAAAACAAAACTGCCCAGAGGTCTACACATACTATGCACCAATAAACCAAGACCATCTGTAGCCTATCAACATCTTTAGTATTCTGCGCTAGTCAGCCACAGAAAAGTGACTCCCGCAGTCACGTTCCTCTTCTGTGTCTGTACAACATATAATCTTACCCAGTTCAAAAAAGCCTTAGAACAGAAAAAGAATGTTCTAACTAATTCTAGATAACATTTTTTTGGCCAAAATCCTGGGGGATACAGATTTGGAAACATTAAAATGTATAAATCTAGGTTGGCTTCATTGAGCTGTTTATACTAAACAAATAAAAAAAAATAAAAACCCACACACCAAACAAAACGCCAAACATCAACCAAAGTTCCCCAAAAGCTGAAACATTTCAGCACTGTCAAAATGGGGTATTTTGGTTTTTCAATTCAAAATTATGTGAAATTTTCTTCAAATTTACTCTTTAAAATGCTCAAAATTAAACAAAGCCATCTGTTGAACTGATTTTTTTTCTCCCTCCACTCCTCAATGATTTGGGGGGGGAGAAATGGTTTTGATTCAACCTCAGCACAGTATTTTTTTGTTTGTTTTAGAACTGCCAAACTCTTAAAAGGTCCATTATTGCCAGACCTGTAGTCCTACCATTGCAGCCAGCATTTCAAGCCTCGACTGTTCTCCAGGACTGTGTGCTTTGGAGTGTTGTTTGCTGTATAAACAACTCTGAGCCTTTAGATCTTTTAAAACTATTTACAGTAAACTCACCTAAAGCTGTAAGCCATGTTAAGAGCTAATGTTAATTTTCAACTGCAAAAATAACTCCAAGAAACAAAATTTGAGAGGGCACCGTGGGCCTGGAGGGCTGGCTGGGGGCAGGAGTCAGAAGTAACGAAAGGATTTCTTCACACTCTCCAATAATTGAGAAAATAGTTGAATACATTTGCTTAAACTTTCCTAAGGAATTCACCTTTGGGCAGAAACCAAGCCTGGAAGATGTCAGCCCAAAAGAAAACAACATGTGAAAACAGGAGACCAATAAAACAAAGTGTTCAGCAATCTTAACTACAGCTGCCACCACTTGTGAAACCAATAAAATAATAATTAAGCTGCAGCTGTGTTACCTAGGCATGACCTTTGAGGAAAAGAACATTTCCCTTAAAATCCTCTTAATAGCTTGTTGGACTGCCCCCAAAAAAGAAGTGCTCAAAGGTCCACTGGCAGGGCACACGGACACTGACAAGCGAGGGACTGGTTGGCATCTATAACCTTGAAATCCTATACTTTTAAAGTGCCTCCTCATCATACTATGTCACATCACAAATGTACATATTCCATGAACATCTTTAGATATCTGTTAATGCAGTTACCAAAAATGATGAATTTTGACAGTCTTAACACAGAGGTCTTCCAATTGTCATTTTAAATACAGCATGCCACTTTACAAGAATAAGAAAAGGATTTACAAGCAACAACTATGTATCACTTAATCTACTAAATCAATGTTTTCCAATTCAATTGACAATCTCTGATGTATTTTGAAATATCAATTAAAACCTCTCATTAAATATTGGAACAAAATGTTCAATGTTTTCTTCTCGTTATTCAACCAACCCTACTGATTTATGAAGAATAACAAAGACAATGTAAAATCAAAAGTAACTAAATCTGTAAAGATTACACGAATAAATAAAAAACCCAAATAGTCTTGAATGCAATACAATTTCTCTGCCCAAAGGTTATGGGTCAGATTCAAGTCACACTACAACTCAGAGGGGATGACAGATCCAGTAAGTGAAGGAAGAGATGATGTAACTAGGCAAGGAGGAATGCTTTTAACTTCATATCCACAACCAGGACAGGTCTGGAAGGCTGCAGAAAAGCCTCAGCTAGGTACAGACATTCAAAAGCCCAAGGTGGGATTGATCTGTTACGCGGTTTTCTGTAAGTGGCAAAGTTTAGATCAACAGCAAACGGAACATATTTTGGCCTTCGGTTGGGAGTGGGCAAACCTTACACTGGGTTTTGTCATTTTTGAACTAGTCTACATGTACCAAATTTCTGGTCTGTTATTAGTATAGACTGGTTTTGTGTGCTGAACTTTTGCTCTGTTACAAGTATAGACTAGTTTCTAATCAATTCTAATGGTAAAAGTGTAATGTCTGTACCTGGCCCTTGAGTCTACACTTACAACAGGGCTAGTGCACAATGGATTACACTGGCACATAACATATACAATTGAATCTAACATGTAGTCAATCTCTGTTTTCAGGATTGACCTCTTCAGGCCAGAGAGATAGTAAATCTGAATACATCCATCACTGGAACCAGAAGGATGAAAACTCAGATGTGTAATAAATACAATATTCATCACAAATTCTATGAGATCCAATAGTAACTTAAATTCTATCACTTTTAATATTTGCAGATGTTCAAAATATGGACATAAATTTAAAACTCCTACTATAGCTATGAAAGAAAATAGTAAGACTGGTACATTAGTTTTAGAATTTTTGGTCAAACTTTTCAACTGGGTGCCTGAAGTTATGGTCCTATACGCAGGTGACTAGATAAATGGAAGTGCTCAGCAGTCAGAAACGCTAAAGACAATGAGAGACAACAGTCTTGCAAAAATGAGGCCACTTTCCGGTACATCCCTAAATATGACATTAGGGACTGAAGCAATTTATAATCTTTAATCAGAATTTTGACTTGCACATGGAGTCACTTCATTTTATAGTTTGAGAATGTGCAACAATGGCATAGACATGAGAGACAAATACAGTTAAAGTTTTATTTTGCATAATTTTCAGTTGGCATGGGAATTGTGACCAAAATGGAAATGTGCTTTTTCAGACACTTTCTTGGAATATGTACTGTTATTTCTAAGAGTACTGCAATTAAACATGAATTTAAGAACATGTTTGTTGATGAAAAGTCAGCTACCAGACCCAGTGCTACAAGTCAGTTCTGAAAAATACCATAAAATCCTATGAAGACTAGCTTGGCACAACTCCAGCTTAACTTTGCCATCTAGAAGTTTCCTTTGTTTCACTTGGTAGAGTGACTGCCAACGGATATTTATTTTCTTTGTTCAAGAAATGTGCAGCACGCATATACTTTTACCACTAAATGAAGAATTCTGATAACTGGTTAAGTCCACTATAGTGTCTGTTTTGGTTTTGTTTTAAATACTGCAAACTGTTTGCACATCTTTTCACTAAAGAACTGGCAGATGTCACAAAGTTCATGCATCTTCTCATGTTTTCCTACACGGTTATGAAATGAAGGGTGCCAGTGATTTTTTTTTCAAACCAAAATGTTCTTCTTACTGGTTTACATTAGTGCACAGAAAGTTTAGCCCTTAGAATCACAAGGAAAACTGCATCAAAGCAACACAACTGCTAGGACTGATGCAAGCAATGGAACGTTAACTGTCCTCCTGCTGCCATGTGACATCCTCCATGCATGCATTACTGCAAACACTGCATTTGTGTGATTGGTTGGTATTTCTACATTGCAGATCATCCCTTCGCAGCAAGAGACACATTCCTGTTAATGAAAAGGAGATTGTTAGGTGGAAGTGGTTTTAGCAGAGGTATACCAGAGGAATATAAGCTTTCAACTGATTGCAAGGGCTATTACTAAACAAGCTAATCACTTCTATCTGATAGCCTGTGATCTGAGTTGGTAGATGGAGTATATCAATTACAGCACCTGCTCCAAATTCAGGCACTACAGCGTTCGTGCAGCTCAAATTATTATACAGTGTAATTAATGGACATCTGTCATCATGATCAGATGAGAAATAACCATGTTAGCCATGTCAGACAAATTTCCCAGCCTATCAGAAAGTAGGTAAAGCTTTCCCTCATATCTTCTCTCCTGATCATTAAGTATAAACATACTTTTGAATGTTTGCTAGCTCCACATTTTTAAATGAATATAAGTTCATTTAAATGAATATAAGGCATTCTCTGTTCACATTTGTCTTTTAAGATTTATGCAATCTGGTCTCAAATTTTGTGCCTTGTATTTACATTTAGTAAATACAAGGTCACCAAATTTCTACCAGGGAATAACTGATAATGTTCACTGTCCAAGTAGTACATATGGGGAATCTTTGCAGCTAACTGGGTGCTTTTAACTGAAATATCTGGAAATGTTGAGCATTCAAACATACCATTCAGGACAGTGAGACATATAAGTGCATAGAGCTTACCTATTATCACAATGGCATCTGCATAGTGTAATCAGATCCAATAGCCTACTTTGCAAAATAAAATGTAACAGTAGAGAGCCTGGCACTCATGAAGACCATATACTGCCCAGAGTATATCAACATTCACTGACATCAATGAGAAACTTCTCAGATCAAAGGTATCATATGTGTGTCCTTTCACATTCAACATACAGATTGTCAGCTGTCTTAAGAGGTCTGAAATCTTACACAGTAAAAGATTTATTATTTGCTCATCTATCACACCTGAATGCAAACCTTGCAGGCATTTAGAAACTGTTACCTTGAAAATGGTCTCCAGCATTTGTTTCCATCGCTTGTCATTGTTAAGGCATAGTTTCTTTCCATTTATACTCGCCTATCAGCGTGGCAGTGCATTTTTGGCATGGCTGCAGAGAATTGCTCTGTTATTTCCAATACACAATCCACTTTCTGTCTAGGATTTATGGGGGAATAAACCTGGTGACTGAAAATAGTCAAATGTGGCTGCTAACCACATATCAGAGCCACAGGGCTTCCTTTATAAAAGATGGCTCTGCTTCTTACAAGAAAAGGAATGACCAAGTTGGAATCTGAATTCTGATCCTCTGTAATAAGGGTGGGCAATTATTTGAGCTGAAGGGCCACTTAAGGAGTTCTGGTGAGCTATATAGGGCCAGGGGGTGGGGGAAGGGGCTGGGGATATGCCAACTGCACCTACCCGGCCCTGGGCCTGTCCACCCCATTATCACCAGTCGGGGCATTGGATGGATCTCCAGGTCCAGTGGTGGTGGCAGAGACACTGGCAGTGGCAGCAAGAAGGAGCCACCGCCACAGGGGCCTGCCAGAAAGCCAAGTCCAGCTGCCACACTGCCCCTGCACTGCCTGGCCCTGTGGACTACAGCTCCCAGAGTGCCTAAGAGCTGCACATGGGGATAGGGAAGGCTGCACTCTATGCCAGGCAGCACCTCCATGCCTGGAGTTGGTGGGACCAGCCACATGATCCATGGCCCAGGCTGCCCCCCACATCTGGGCTGAGTGGGGATGAGGGACCTGCCGTAGGCCAGAAAAAAAAATTCACTTGTTGGGCTGGATCCAGCTTGCAGGCCATATTTTGCCCACCCACCCCTGCTCAAGAAGGTAGCTTAGTGCACTATCATCATATCCCCCAGAGGATGGCTTATTTGAATAGACTTGTGAATATCCACCCATCCTTCCAATTGTCACAGGATCAGCTACACTACAGAGGCTATGTTTTGTTCATCCCTTGTTCAATAAACTTGAACATTTAAGTTATCACTTGTTCATTAAACAAAAACCCTTGCATTATGCCCAAAAGTTAGGCCCCATCTGAAGAAGCCATGGTTCCACCTGGTACCATGGAATGGGAGTACTGAACTTTCCTCACTCCAAGAACGTACCATTCCTGAAAACTAAAGTTTACCTTCTCCAGCAGCTATATACATACTTCATTCCAGAGGTGTAGCCAAAGTGAAGTCTAGCAAGAGAGGTGCAGCAGCATGAAGTTCAGTGCAGGCTGCACAAGCTTGCTTGGAACTTGGAGCAAGCCTTGGCAGTTTAAGCCCATGTCACTCCACATACAAAGCTATCAGCATATAACCTGGACAGGGTACATCTAGATAAGGTGCAATCACATCTCTGGACTGTAGTGCAGACAAACCCACAGAAAAGTAAAAAGTTCTAGCATATTCTGCAGTTTTGATTTTCATGATTTAAACCTAAGACAGTCTCATTTGACTCACCTCATTCTCTTCATCCGGAGTTTTACCTGATAATGAATGAGGAAGGAGGTTTGAACAGGATCTTTATTTAGAAAACCATACATTTTCCTTCATTGGAAAAACTGATTCTTACCGTATAGCCAGTCTCTCTGTGATGGCGACAGCCAACGAAGTGGCATTCATCTCTGGTAGCACATTTCTTAGTGACCGATGTGCTTTTTCCATAGCTTGTGAAGAGATGAACTGTTAAACAGTACTGTGTATCTATGAAATATATCTGAGTCAGGTTTATTCCATGAAATGCAAATTTTCTTACATATTTGAGAAACTTGACAAGATATGCCCACACAGAAAAAATAGTCAGTGCACCAGTTTAGGGAGGTAAGGTGGCTTAACGTACTGCAAACATTTTTCAATTTATTTTAGTTTATCTATAACTAAAACATAAATATAGTGGCCACTTGGCCTGTCTTCCTGAGCCAAATATTTAAATGTCCACTCAAGTTTGCACTATTTCATGTTTCTCTTTCTTCTCTCT